CTCAATAATTTTTGTATAATTCTTAACGAATTGTAATTGTATATTAAGTCATAGTTGGATTTTTTTGTAATCAACAATCCCCATATTTCTAGTTAAGACTAGGACAAAGTCTGCAAGTTGATTTCCTGGTAAGATTCTAACCCATCGAGTAAATTATTGTTGGTCCTAACAGACGGACTCAAGCTAAGGCTAGACCACCGCCATTTGAATGGCCAGAGGATTTGAATAAGGAAAGGGATGATTTTTCGGATGATGATGATAATTGGGAACCCTATGAAGGAGAGCTTCCCTACTGTTAATTAACAACCATTGTGTATTTATCATCCATTTCGGTCGGATAATGCTACTGTTAATTATCTTGTGTTGTCTTTGAAGTGTTTTGATACAAGTTTGAGACTTCCATGGGATTTCGTTGTGATTGTACTACTCATGACATTACTTTGGAATTTTCACTTTAGTTGCAATAGTTTGGAAGGTGGGTTGTTTATGTTTTGTTTGGCTGATTAAGCATGGTCTATGGTTGGAACTGTGTTGTTTTTTTTGTTTTTTTTTATTTTTTATTTTATCAAAAGGTTATTAATTGAGAATATTTATGAACCAATAAAAAAAAACAAGGACTACAATGATTAGTAGTTTGAGACATTTCAATATTTATTCTATGATCTCTTCGAGTAGCAAATAGCAATATGTTTCGGTTTTGTGGCTTTTTATACAATATATTAGTATCATTGTTTTTTGTTTTAAATTGAAATTCACATTTGATAATTTATAAAACATAAATAATTTATTTATTGATATATTTTATGATGATTATAATTTTCTTAATCTTTGTTATGTTTTTCTAGACCAAAATCAAATGGAAAAAATAAAATGAAAACCAAATAAACGCACCAACGGAATCTGAATTATTATTCTACCAACAAAACGCTTTGCTCGTGAAATGTCAAGCTTCATTGATTTCATAAGTCAACCTCAAAAATTAATTAAGTTCGTTAATTAATCGGGTCGATCTAAGTAAATTGTTTATTTTTTTATTTTTTGTATTGGTTTCTACCAACCAAGTCGAACATGTTAGCATTCCTAATTTTCAAAATGAAATGTTATACTAAAAAAATAATGTAAACATTGTTTAAAAAGTATAACGAGTTGACTTTGTCAAGAAATGAATTGCATAAATAATACATACCAGTTACATAAATAATGGAATAGCTACTGTGTGTACATTTGTTGGCGTTTAATGTTATGGGAG